AGGTGGTGTTCCCCTAAGGGGTGCCCGGAGGCGGGCGGCGGCCTCACGGACACTTCGTAACCGGGCCGCTGCTTGGGCCCGCTGGATGGCCTGGACCGCTCGGGGGTTTACAAATTGGGCCCGTGGTGGTCTCGGGGGATGCGGCATGCTAGAAGAGACGATGTAAGACAGGTTTTCGTGGGCGGGTTTCAGCTCTTTAATGTGGACCTGTCGGATGCGCTTGCCCGTGTCGGATTTGAGATCGTACACAACCGGAGACACAACTTTGGTCACGGTATACGGCCCGGAGTATTTCGCGGTTAGTTTCGCGGCAAAGCCTTTACTGGCTGAAGACAGGGGGTGTTCCTTCCGGTAAACACGATCTCCGACGTGACATCTCCAGTCTCTTCGGCGCAGGTTGTAATATTTGCTTTGGGTGGTAAAGGCACGGGCTAAGTTCACTCTAACAAGTTCGAAGGTTTCCCTTAGCTTGTCGAGTCGTTCGGAATGGGCGGCGGCGGCATCTGTAGGGTTGGTATCAGCGGAACGGTCGGTATTGTCGGTGGTAACATCGGTGTCGGCGGCGTCGGTTTGCAGAATGAACGGTTTGCTGAAGTCAGGACACGCCAGTACTGGGGCTTTAGTGAGACTATCCTTCAGAGCCGTGAAGGCGGCTTCTTGATCGTTAGTCCACTCCCATCGGCGGCCCTTTTTCAGCAAACGGTTCAGCGGGGCGGCAATCTTTGAAAAATCCGGGTTGAAACGGTGGTACCATGAGGCCATTCCGAGAAAGCGCCTCAGTTGTCGGAGGGTTGTCGGCGGCGGTAATTGTTGGATCGCGGAGACTTTTTCCGGGTAGGTACGGATTCCCTCAGAGGTGACCAAATGTCCTAGATACCTCAGCGTTCGGCAGTCAAACTGACACTTTTCTGGGTTCAGTTTGAGGTTAGCAGATCTTAGCCGGTGGAATACTTCCCGCAGCATTTCCAGATGGTGCTCGAACGTCTCCCCTAGCACGATGATATCGTCTAGATATGCGAAACAGTAGGGGTCTAGGTCTGGTCCGATGATGCGATCCGTCAGGCGTTGGAAAGTGGCTGGGGCGGAATGTAACCCGAACGGCATTACTCGGAAATGAAAAAGTTCCCGGTACCTTACGGTAAAGGCGGTGATCGGTTTGCTCTCCGGTGACAACGGAACCTGCCAATACCCACTCTTCAGGTCGATACTCGAAATGTATCGAGCACTCCGGAGTTTGTCCAGGATGGCATTGATGTACGGCAGTGGGTAGGCGTCTTTCCGGGTGACGTCGTTGACTTTTTGGAAGTCGATGCAGAAGCGGTACTTCCCATCTTCCTTCTTGGCCAAGACGACTGGTGAGCTCCACGGACTGTCTGACGGCTCGATCACTCCTTCGGCAAGCATCTTGCCAATTTCGGTGTTGATGACGCTCTGCATGAACGGATTTCGGGGTCGGTGCCGTTGCTTGTTGGGCTCCGGATTCAACAAATGGGTCTGATGTTCGATCAATGGGGTTGTTCCGACAGTGTTGTTGAATCGCAGAAGCTCTTCGTCCAAGAACTTTTTCAGCCGGAGCTCTTCGTCGGCGGACAGTGTCAATGGAGGAGAGCTTTGAACTTCGGCGAGGGCAACCGGATCGGTGACGGTGTTTGGTCCGGATATGGGTTGCTCGTTCAAGAACACGGTTCCGGTGATTAGGTCTAATTCAAACCTCTGTCGGGCGAGCATGTCCATCCCCAGCACAATCTCGGAGGCTAGCTGGGGCAGATGGCGGTCTCCTAGAAACGAGCGGGCTGCACCGGTGTCGACCAAGGCGGTGTAGCGGTTTCCGAAGATGTGAACAAAACTCTTTGGCCGGTTGTCGTCGAGAGAGTCGATTGATGTGCACGGAGCGGTGTCGGGCGGCATCTGCACAGGCTCCGCAGCTGTGCGGTGCTCATCTAGTTTCCCGAGCCGCAGGCGCAGTCTTTAGACATTACGAGCAGAAGATCTTCGGCTTACCTCGGCATTCGGTCCGGAACTGTCCGGCTTCGCCACATCTCCAGCAAACCGGAGTTCGCGGTTGTTCGGCGGTGTTTTGGACGGTTCTTACGGTCGGTTGAATCGGTTTTGGGGCGGTTGGAGATGGCTGGGTCGGCGGTGAAGGTCGAGACGGTGCGGTGTTTTCAGTCCGGGTCGTCGTCTGGGGGCGAGAGGCGGCTTCCTCTTGGAGTAATAGTTCATACTCCCGGACGGCTCGTGTTAATTCCCCTACTTCGTGGAAATCGGAACGGCGCAGGTATAGGCGGTATTTCGGCAGCAGGTTTCAGTACACCCACGAAAGCTCTTGGTGCGGCGTGAAGCGGCCGTAGCGACGCATCAGGGTTTGGAGGTCGGTTACATAAGTTGTGACGGACTCGTTGGGTCGCTGATGTCGGCGGCTAATCTCGGCCTCGAGGTCTTCGTAATAATTTACCGGAAAGTAGTAGGTCCGGAATGACTCAACGAAATCCTTCCATCGAGTCCACAGATGTCGGTTATTCCGCCACCAGAGAGCGGCTTCTCCCTGGAATAGACGTGGCAGGTAGCCCAGCACCTCGTCGAGAGAGACTTGCTCGGTGTCGCAGGTTTCTTCGAGGCGTTCGAGGAAAGCTGCCGGGTCACCTTTGCCATTAAAGCCCACATTCCATTTATGGACTTTCAATACGGGACTGTTTCTCCCGTATTGACTTTGGGTCGGGGTGGGTGAACGGTCTGTCGGCAGCGGTGAAGGCGGTCGAGAAGCGCGGGGTTCCTGCCACTGCCGGTCCGGTGGTGGTAGCCCAAATTGGGCTGGGGCGGAGTGCGGCAGGCTGTTGCGGTGATTCCAACGGTTGCTTGAAATGTTTCGATCTTTCCGGATTTGGCTGCCCGTACTGGAGGAATTGCAGCAGTCGGGCACGTCGTTTTTCCGGGGATCCGGACTAGGTTAACCGGAATTTCGCCAGCTCGTATTTCACAGCGTCGTCCGAGAGCTGGTTTAAATTACCGTATAGCGTCGGAGTGAAGCTGGGAAGTGGTGTGGCAATCGTGCTGTTCACCGTAGTAGTGCACGTGGGGGCATATGATGCAACGGTTGTGACAATGGACGATGGTGCCGGCGGTGACGGTAATGGGGGGTACGGTATCGGAAACGAAGGTGTTTGAGGGGTCGGGGGTGTGGAGTTCGGTTTTCAGGTAGCTTTTCAGGGCTACCCCCATGGTTTCGACGGTGTCGGATTCGGTGAATTCCAGCCCTCGGATGGACAATTCCTTCAACAGCTCCTCTTTTCGCAGATTGTGCACCCATTGGGCCATTTTCTGCTTGCTGTGCGGCATCGCACTAAGTCCCGGCCTCGTTTGTGACGTTCTTGATGGTCGATGTCGTCCGAAGTTGAAAGCTCGACCGGATTTAGGTGTTTCGGGCGAAAGCTCACCAAAAGCTCGAAAAAGCTCAAAAGCTCCGGGAGCTTTTTGTTCCTCGCGAAAAGTGAGCTTTGAAAATTCGAAAGCTCAAAGCTCGATCTTGGGTGAGCTTTGGGGGTGGAACTTTCGGGTTCCGGTACTTCTCACCTGGACGGTGTCGGTTTCGGGCGAGCTTTTGGGCTGACGTCACGGGGAAGCTTTCTGGGCGATCTGCTGAGGTCACGGGCTTGATGCGATGATCCGGTGACGGATTCGATGGCGGGGGCGGTCCGGTACGGTACGGTTACGTTACGATTACGGTTCGGCGGCGGTACGGTGACGGTTATGGTTCGGCGGCGGTAACTCCTCTTCCTGACAAAACGGTCTCTGCTCGGGCGCCAAATTTGTGACGTTTCTTCCTTGGGGCGGTGTACCTCGGGCGCCAGCACCCGGTTTTGTGAGGGGGGTGCACCTCTTGGCGGCGGCTCCTACGGGTGGCTCAATGGAGACGGTTCTTCCAGGGATCGATGTCAGGGGGGAAGCGAGGGGTGAATAAGAACCGGATTAAATAAATAATTTATTTAACTATAAGCTACGGGGGGGAGGGGAATTGACAAGCGAAAGCGCGTAAGCGGGTTATGCAAGCGGTGCGGTCATCTAATACAAGCGGTGTTATAAGCGGTATTACAAGCGGGTTCGGCAGGTCACCTTTAGATTGCGGAAGCACTCGGGGGGGGGGTGGGGACTCGGAAGTTGCGGTGCCCTCTGCGTTCTTCCGCCCGTTAAGACGAGAGGATACGGAGGCTGCCTGTGAGGACACGCCCGCGGGAAAACGGAAGTTAAGGAAGCGGATATCCCGGCGCCCCTCTACCTGAGTCACCACCGCAGGTAAACGGGAAAGGGGGAACGGTGGGGTGTGGGGACTTGCCTTCCGGTCACTCTCACTTTGGTCACTTGTTCACTTTCGGTCACTTCACTTTCATCTTCACTGGTCACTGGAGAAGTCTTGCTCGGTGGTTGCGTACCCTCGGGAGATGTTTCTAGTAACTTTGTTACAAATGTTTATTAAAATCTTTACAGGTTTTAAATGATATTAAGGTTTTCAAACAAGTATTAAAAAAATTACTATTAAAAAATCTTTTTTTTACAATAGACGAATATTTCTCTTTTAGTTTTTCTAATATTGGAGATATTAAAAT